ACAGCAAAAGCATCCAAGAGTGCCTGAAAGCTGGTCATTCTGAGATGCAAGAAAACCGAAGATTCTTGACCATGTGGGTATCAGCTCTTCCTCGAGGTAAAACAATGGAAGCAGCTGTTTTTCCCTCCTCAACTTTCTGCAGGGCTGATGTGGCCATGCCACTCAAGGACAGGAGGACATGGCCAACAAGCTGCACCAGCCCCTGGCAATCCTTGGAATTCTAAGGTCGGGTCAGCTTCCTGAACATGACTAAGCCATTGTCTTTCCATTTCCAGGATGGGGAGATAAACTACACTCTAAATATTTACTCTTCTTATCTCCTGTATTCTAATAAGGGATTTGCTTGAGGTGACATGTCAAATGAAATGCTAAATATAGGACAATTTCAGTTTACACAGAGAAAGATTATTCAATGGGTGATTCTTTGCAAATTAGGTCATAAACACCAGGGGAAATGGGTGCTTCTCATGTGCTGGCAGGATTTCAGAACTCAGTATTCCTCAGGGAGCCCCGTCTGTGGCTGTGCAGTGACTCCTTCAATAAGGGAAGGGACCCCCAACACACCACACAGCAATGCTCTCTGCTTGCTTCTCAAGACTAAAGTTAAAATAACTCAATATTTTTTAAATGTCATTTGCAAAGTTTGATTAGATAGCAACTACTTACTGAACTGACACTCTTAGATGAACTGAATTTGACTGCAAGTGCAAGCAGGAAACCAGAAATTGCAACACACATGCAAATTATACATACCCGCATACATACATACATGTGCACACATGTAAAGATAATCACACAGCATGCATGCAACTCGTGTGCCCATCACAATAGAGATAGAAGCACACTCTCAGGGTCATGGGGTGTCTTCAACTAAAAAGCTAATTCTACAGAAATAGAGTTGGTTCTCCAGTGCTCCTGGGATTGAACCTAGGGCCAGTACAGGCCAGGTGAGCACCCGCCAAACTGCGTCTAAAGCCCTTAAAGAAGTCCGGTGAACAGCACAGTGACATTCCCTGGTGTGACTTCTCTCCCATCTTAGCTTTATTACATGGAGTTAAAATGGACATGAAGCAACCCATTTGTTGATTTTAAGGGGTATCTTCCTTTTAACTGGCCTCTGCTTGTTGCTGGATGCTGCTCTCATTTCACAGGTGGAAGGGCAGGTTCAAAAGGAGCCTGTCACTCTCTGAGTCTGCTGGCTAAGTCTTCCCCTTAAACACTGAACAGGTAAGTAACCAGGGAACAGCATGACAAAGGGCTAGATGCATCCCCATGCCTTGATTTAAAAAAAAAGCAAAAACAAAAACAAAAACATAAAAAAGAGCAGTATGTTCTTTGGAAATCGTTAAGACTGAGGTCACAAATCTTTAGATAAAATTATATGTTGGAGCCGGGAAATGGTGGCGCACACCTTTAATCCCAGCCCTCGGGAGGCAGAGGCAGGCAGATCTATGTGAGTTCGAGACCAACCTAGTCTATAAGAGCTAGTTCCAGGACAGCCTCCAAAGCCACAGAGAAACCCTGTCTCGAAAAACCAAAATAAATAAATAAATAAATAAATAAATAAATAAATAAATAAATCTTATGACTGATATATATATATATATATATATATATATATATAAACACATATGTATATATTATATATGGTATAAATTGAATTAGCTAGTGATTGGGATTACAGAAAACTACCTCTATTAACAAGACTTCACTTTGTTAACAAAATATACTTAAAATAATTCTGAGTCCTATTAAAATTCTAAGAAAAATACTCAAGTTGGTTTGTAATGGGTATCTCATTCTAAAAACTGGCATCTTGGGCTTAGCAGGTAAAGTGATTACTGTGCCACCATGAAGCCTGGAGCTCTGATGCCCAGGATTCACACGGATGCCAGCGGCTGGGGTGGGCAGCCTGTAATCCAGCACCTGGGAGGCAGAGAAGGCTTGCTCAAGGCAAGCTGGCTAGCTATACTAGCCAATGCCAAGTGCTACCCAGGGAGACTGTACTTGTAAGGTGAGTGTGATCAAGGAAGACAGCTATGCCAACCTCTGGTTTACACACACACACACACACACACACACACACACACACACACACACACACCCCACACCACGTGGACAAGCACCTACACACCCATGCAACCTTGCACACGCATACCACACATACAAACATAATAAAAATGCTATCTGACAAAATCCCAAGGCATAAATAACAAATGACTCTTTTGGAATCACACTAAACAGGCTTGTCCTTATACCGTCCAGCACATGGCTCAGAACCGCAGGTTGCCTGACTTTACTTCCCACCTGATGGGCAAATCCCTGGGCTGAAGACATTCACTGTCAGAAAATTCGCCCCTCCCTGGCCACCCCCCCATTCACCATCCACTCCTCAGGCATGGTAGGGCCCTCGATGGGGGCTCCCCAAAGTCCATCACATCATCCTGGGCCGGGCCTAGGCCCTTCCCCATGTGTCCAGGCTGAGACGTGGGATGGGCTCTCAAAGTCCCTACTTACATCAGGGAAAAATACTAATCCACCACCAGGGGCCCCCTAGAGTGTAGAGGCCTCCTCATTGACATCCATGTTCAGGGGTCTGGATCAGTCCTGTGCTGGCCTCCCAGACAGCAATCTGGGGTCCATGTGCTCCCCCTTGTACAGGCCAGCTGTTTTTGTGGGTTTCACCAGCCTGGTACTGGCCCCTTTGATCTTCATTTCTCTTTCTCTGCAACTAGGTTCCAGAGTTCAGTTCAGTGTGTATCTGGGGGTGTCTGCCTCTGCTTCCATCAGCCACCGGGTGAGGGCTCTAGGTAGGGATCAGGACAGCAGAGGAGGGGGAAGGAAGAGTCCTTTCTCAGTTCTTAATCACTTTTCTTGTTTAATCAAAAAAACGATTCTGGGCAGCACTAATCTGTAATAAATCCAGCTGTTCAGACAGGGAGCTGGCTGCTGGAGACAGAGAATGGCTCAGGGCCATCCTTTTGTGACGTGGCTGTTGGCATTACGTTGTGGGACAGGTGAGATTCGTGCCCATTTTCTGCACACGTGCTTACAAGGCTGGTCCCCTCTGCAACAAGCACTTATTCGTGAGGGCTCTCACACCATTCTTCCATTAGTTCTGGTTCTTTTCCAGGAGCACAGGTGAGCCACATGACTGGGGAAACAGCAGTTTTTACTTCACTTTGTCCTGAAAGCCACCCAGAAACACACAGCCCAGTAAGGATTAGTTCCTCTGCACATGGCTGCAGAGTTTTCTGAGCCCTGATGCCTTTCTGGTTTTCCTATTCATAAATATTTGAATATATACAATACACTTATTTATTTAGGTGTATACATGTGTATTTTTCCTGCATCTGTCTCTGCAGGCAGACAGGACATGGCTGAAGAGCTTGAGGACCCCCTGGCCCTCATGCTCTTGCTTTGAACAATTTTGATATGCACAATTTCAGCTTCTGTGTTGTAAACTGCACCAGTCTCTAGGAACACAGTCCAAACTACAGTCACAAACGTCACTGTCGTCCACCAACCATTCTGTAATATGTGTCCCACAGTTAGAAACCAGTAATGTCAGTCCCTTCAAACTCTACAAGCAACCGCTCATTCCATCTTTGACTCATTGTTCTTACAGATAGCAATGCATGTAGCTGTGCTCCATGACAGCTAACGAAAATGTTGAGTCAGAAGAGGGAAGTGGTCAGTCAACATAAAACACACTGCAAGACAAACTCAGGTAACAGAAGGTCCAGGAACGATCAGAGGTTCTTTGTATTTCAGATTGCCTGGCCATTGTATGCTGTTTAAGCTGGGGTCTCACTATTTCACCAAGGCTGGCCTTATGGCCTTGGTCTTGGGGTTCTTGTGGCCCGCTCTCCCACACTCGAGGAATTCTAATGTACACTGACTTCTGGCTTGAAGAGTCATTTTTGTAGTCTTTCATAACCGCAAAATCAAGGTCTGTTAGTGAATGTGTATATGTACATGCACGGTTGGTTTTAAAAAGTAAGAAAAAATGTGGTATTAATATGTATTCTGAAAGCCGCTGTTTGAATAATGTGAGCTCAGGCACACATGCATAGCTATTTTCAATGGCTACTGTAGTCCACTGAATGGATGAGCGGCTTCATATTTCGTTGCGGATGGGCATTTAGGCTGTTTACGTTTGTTTTTTTTACATGCTAACACATTGTCGTATACGTACACAAGCATTCTACTGAATTGGTTTCCAGAAGTGAACTACTATCTCATTGAGTTCTAGGTCGCACTGGGTTACATAGTAAGACCCCATCTCAAAAAGGAAAGTACTGTTTTGCTGTTGGTCCCAGCAACACAAGGCTGCACCACAATAAAATGACACCTTGTGATGGAATGTTAAGGATTCAATTTGACAGGACATGGCTGAAGAGCTTGAGGACCCCCTGGCCCTCATGCACTTGCTTGACCAGTACTGGTGTGACCAGTGTGACGTAGCTGGCAGGTCCCCCACAGAATCTGTGGGGATGGATCACTCACTGTTCGACTGCTGCTGCTGTGCCTGGGCATCCCTGTGTGCCGGCTGAGGTGATGAGCCGTTTGTTATGAATAGGCCCACTAAGCAGCTGAGCTAACACTCCTGAGGGAGCACCATTTCATTCCTGCAAATTCCCGGCAATCGCATGCTGATGTCCTGATAATTCTCCAATTGGTATATTTATAGTTTGCGATAGTGTTTAACATACACAGGCATCGTGGTTTGAATGAGGTGTCCCCCATAGGCTCAGATACTTGAGCACTTGGTCTCCAGCTGGTGGCGCTGTTTGGAGATGCTGTGGAGTATCTGGGAGGTGGAACCCTGCTGGAGAAGTATGTCACTGCCAGAGGGTTTCGCTCACCCCTCTTCCAGTTTGCATTTTCTGCCTTGTGTTTGTGAATTAGTGTGAGCTCTAGGCTTTCTGCTGTGGCTGCTAAGCAACAAAATTAGCGATACACTTAAAACACAGCATATTAAGGACAGAAGCGCAACATTAGAGATAAAATATTTAATCTATTTCATGAAAAAGAAATACAAAGCTTTGGAAAAGAGGTTTAGGTTTCCATGTACAGTACAACACCCTCGCTTCCCAGGACCCCAGGAGTCACACTTTACAGTAGAACACACCAGGAATCACACTTTACAGTAGAAACACACCCTCCCAGGACCCCAGGAGTCACACTTTACAGTAGAAACACACCCTCACTTCCCAGGAGTCACACTTTTCAGTAGAAACACAGCTTCCCAGGACCCCAGGAGTCACACTTTACAGTAGAACACACCAGGAATCACACTTTACAGTAGAAACACACCCTCCCAGGACCCAAGGAACCACATTTTACAATAAAAACACACCCTTGCTTCCCAGGACCCCAGGAGTCACACTTTACAGTAGAAACACACTCTTGCTTCCCAGGACCCCAGGACCCCAGGAATCATATCTTTTAAGTTAATGAAGGCCACCACACTCTCATTCCACCTAACAGCACTCTTTAAAAAACCACTTGAGTTTAGTCTAAAAATAAATGTAAAATACCAGGTGCTTAAAAAATATATTAATCCATCTACATTAAACACTTAACAATGCACAGCAGGTAAATTCTTTTAGGACCAAACCATGTCTAGAACTTGCATTGTTTAGGCACAATGTCACCATGGCAGACCACCTCTAGTCTCACAAATGAAATTACAAAACTTATTCACACAAGATGGGAAAGAGTCTAACGTGACACATGCCTCTAGGAACCGTATCTTGAAGGAAAGATGGACAGATGGAAATCCTGAGTACCTCGCAAGCATGAAGTAATGACAGACATGGTGTCAGCACCGACTCTCCGTGCACTCCTACCGAGGGGTCTAGAACTACACCATCAGCCCATGTACATTAGGAAAATTTACTGCAAAGAAGACAAGTTAATTTGGAGTCACACGGGGTCCGGGTTCCCTGCCTTTGAAAACTGAGACCTTACTAGGACTCTAGAGAAATCACCCAAGGCTCTACCCATTCAGTTCTCTGTGGAACCTTGGCTCCTCAGCAAAGTTTCTCCAGGAACTACAGCTGCTCTGAGGGTGCCACGATGACATCACAGGCATGCATCAACAGCACATTCCAACTCCATGCAAACAAAAACCACCTTATGTTTCTGGGGGAACTAAAAAGAAAAATAACTTTTAAAATAGAAGATAGCTCAATGGCTATGTTAGGGACTTGTGTATTTTCCCCTTATGTCTTATTTATCTCAACATTTTCCATGAAACTGGGTATAAAATCTAATTCCCTGTGAACTGTCAGCATCTCAGAGGACACTGACCCTCCTTTTTATTTTATTTTACTTCAAGTGGAAAGCTGTAACTAAGTATCCTAAGAGTACCAAGGGCTTGTCTACACTTAACAACCTCAGATTTAATGTTTAAAAAAGTGATTCTGCTCAAGTCCATTTCTTAGGCAGGCCAGACAACACTTTTGGTACAGGACTGCTGGCTTAGTGCTCGCTTCTAACCCAAGGCTGATGTGCACACAGGGGAGTGCACTTGAAAATGCTCACAGTTCTTTTCAGGAGGCTGCCAACTTCAGAATGGCGGCAGACACACTGGAGTGACACGCCAGGGGAGGAAAGGACACACGGAGAATGAGTAACTATAGCGAGGCACACATGCCACAAGCATCTAGGGTTTTAGCTTTTCAACTCTAACCTCTGGCAATGATTAAACCCCAGCAGCACACTATGGCAAATGCTGGGCTGGAAGAGCCTGAAGGAGAGCTTGTGCCCTGGTCCTCTTCCAGCCTTGTACTCTACGGTCATCCGAGAGTTGGGGCACCAGCCTACATCACAAGTCAGCACAAGCTGGAGCCAAGGTTTATTAGTCACAGAATGCCATGTGGTTCAATTACACAGCCTGTGGCTTTTACGGCCATTCTTTCTATTACCCTATTGCAATGAAACAGAGAAAAGCAAACTTCATTAAAGCTGGGGTAAAACAGTGACAAAGGGTGACTGCCAATTCTTCATGTCAGCTATAGGGCAGGGTGGTGGAAAAACAATCTCGGTGATTAGCATTGTGGTCTACATTAAGGCATGTGGCTACTACCACGGTCAAGATCAGACAGGTGTCACATGGACACCAGGAACGCATTTACGACACAGCAGTGTGTTCCTCACCACACAATACTATGTCACTGCCATGCTACTGGGATGCAAAGCATCCCATCAAAGCATCACCGACACGCAGCAGTTCACCTTACAATGCCAAGCTGACCTCAGGAATGACTTCTGATTCACTAGGGGTGGCTACACCAGAACCATTAAGGGTTCAGGAGGGCAGAGGATCTCATACTTCTGCACCTCACTTTGGTTCACAAAGCATTGTCTCAAATGAGTGAACTTTTCAGGGACTATGCCAGCCCCGTTCTTCATGACAAGGCCACTTGGACGGTCCTACTGGAATAACTGGTGTTTCTGTACACATACCTGCCGAGAGAAAAACTGGGGATAACAGCAGAAACTAGGGGCACAGAAAACCCTTTGGGAAATAACAATTACACATACCATTCCAAGGCCCAGGTGGTGAGAGTCTATGAAAAGTCATGTAATTTAAATGGCATTATTTGAATTTCAAAAACAATCACTCCTAGGGCTCCTGGAATTCTCTGGATTGATAAGTTACCACACAAAGGCACGAAGTATGTGAACTATGCATGTCTAACAGAAGATACAGCAGGCAGCGGGCAGGGCAGACAGCTGTCCAGGCTCTGCACTTCCTCCACTGGCAGGCTGCAGTGAGGATACATTGTGGACACACAGAGCGTGTGGGAAAGCACCAGCAGGTGAAGAGCTCAGTGAGGCAGACATGAAAGCACTCCTCCTTCAACAGGCTCTCCACTCTACATCTTGTAAGGGAATCAAGCTCTGGGCTCACTAGTCACACAAGTCATTTGAGGGTGCCCAGTGCACCCGCCTTCTAGGTCCTGTTCTAGGCACTGGACTCTATCCCAGGGCTTCCTGACTGACAGACAGACTACCCATACGCCAGAGCAGCTCCCTTCTTTGCGCGGCACACACCTGTCGGGTCTGTACCTTGTTCTGAAGCCCACTCCAGGAAATACAGGTGAAAGCAGGTTAAGATCCTGGGCAACAGCCTCCCAGGGTGACACACCCTCCCAGCACTCCTAGGTCACAGTCTGAAGATTGCTTGTACACGTTGTAAGAGTGTGGTGAGGGCTCCAGCTATGTCTGGATTCTCTATTGAGCACATTGACCGGTTAAAATTCCAGAAGGTCTTTTCCAATACTTCTCTACAGTATGGAGGTGCCTCTTTATCAACAGAGGTGTGTGTGAAATAGTGATCCATCCTACCACAAAGTGTTCTTTTCCTTTTGAGCCCAGATTCTATTGGGTCTACTAACATGTGAAATGGTGAAGAAATATTTTGCTTTAGAAATTGGAGTTGTGAAGAAAATGTCAAGCCCGTGTCTGTGGCCATAAATTATTGTCATTATTAGTCACTAAACTGATAAGTAGCAGTTCATAAATTACTCCGTGCTAAATGCCGTGTGAACATTTCACTGAATCCTGGCAGCAAGCCCAGGCAGCCCTGCTTTATAGGGTTAGACTTAGCTGCAGAGCCCATACCCTTGCCACCACACTGTGCTACACGACAAAAACACCGTAATTATTCCTGTCCTCACCAACTCACTTTAAGGGAGACCAGTATATGAAAGGACTCTAAACTATGCCCCATCTTTTCTAATAGAAGAAGCTTTAGAAAAGCTATTAGTGCTTACAACTCAGATTTATCTTCAAAAATATTAGATTTCTTCCTGAAGTACTGATGATCGGAAAAAGAGAGAAGTAGAATTAAAGGAAACACCAAAGTTTGCTCCTTTAGAAATATTACAGTCCTCCTGCAAACACTTTTATGTGATTGTTCTCTATAAAACTTCACTTTTGATGATTCTTCCTGACTGAGGACTGACCCCAGGGTCTCTGCAAACACCAAACAAACGTCGTCCTACTGAGTTACAACTCTAGTCTTTGGTGACTGGACTTAAACATCTTGCCAAAGGCAACAGCTAAGCTGAAGTCTCTTCAGTTGATAGACAAAAACTAACAGTCAAGTACTGAATATGTGGAAAATCATAGTTACACATTTTCATTATGTTCTCCAAATTTCCATGGCCAAAACTCCTTATCTCAGTGGTATGAACCACAAAGTAGACAGGCCCTGAAACAATTAAAAAGCTCTAGAGAAAACAGAAGGTCCTGAAGTGTTTCCTTATGTGACATTTATGTCACCCACGAATCTAGGAACCTACGTGCATTGTTCAGTGTGAGTTCTCTTAATCCACATTAACCCACCACCAATAGTGTAAACAGCAGTGTGGAAAGGCAGGGGTGAGAAGGAGAAGTCAAACTGTATTTTAAAGATCAAGGAACCACTCAGTCTCTGAAGACTCAACTAAGATTCTATCCAGATAAAGGGAAAACAAATGCAATCTAAAGAGGGTTTTGGGATCTTTAAGGTACATGACAGTACAGAATAAACACTGTGTTTTTAGAGTGGAAATAAATGACCATTATTTCTACATTAGTTAAGCTGTATATCCTCTGTTCTAGAGAGTGATTCAAACAAGGCTGAAATGTACTCAGGGCACTCACTCACCACGCACGGCACAGCAGCTTCACACTGTGGCTACTGGGCCTCTGCTGCAGCCAGTTCTAGAAGCCAGGGTTTCTGAGGTAATGTGTATAACGCTAACCAAGGTCCCTTTCCCTTCCATTTGCATTTCTCCTGAAAGGAGCTTCTGTAGGTTACTAATTAAAGTCATGATCTATATGTTATTATTTCAGAAGGTTTTTAGCTAACTCAATAATAAAACAAACAAATATTACCTGTCAAAACCGCTTTAAAAATCAATCAACACATATGTAGAATGATACTTAGATAATTACACTTTGTATCTAGTACTTTTGTGGAAGGAAGGCACGCTATACCAGACTGTCTACAGATACTTAGTGAATTTATAGGCAGGGTTCAACTGAAGTTTCTGAAATATTGTAATATGAATAAATAAAAATACGCCGAGTCTGTTTTAAACAAGCAAACAGGTTTTGCACAGTTACGATGATAATCTATGATAATCACAGTTACGATGATAATCTATGATAATCACAGTTACAATGAGAATTACACTCCACTATCCCTTTCAGTGATGCTTCTTATAAGGCTAAAAAAAAAAAAAGAAATACCAGAACAGTAAGCAAACCACTGTGTTTCAGCCCTAATACTTTAAATGAAAATATATTAGGATAACAACTGCATTAAAATATTTTATATTGACAACAGCAATTTGAAGGTTTACATGTGATCTTTTAAAATATCAGAATTAAAGATCATAATTTAAATTCTAAATATGGGAACCAAAACAATAACAAAAAACCCAAACTCAATAAATCTGTATTTAACTCTTAAAACTGAAGTATAAATTTCCAAAACAACACAATACTCACTTATATCAAGTTCTACCATTACAATAAACTATCTCACACAGCAACATGGCCTGACCCCCACCTCAAAAGTCAGCATGTCTCTGGGGACGTGGGCATTGTCTGCTAGGAATGTGTTCATTTGAGAAATAGTTAAGAGTAGGTCTGCATGCCCCTAGAAATTGTTTTTCTGTATAAAGTTATAAGGCATTAGTAATGGCATGTCAAAACAAATAATTTATAAAAATAGATTAAAACTCTCTTTGAAAAATACCTCAGGTTTGAAAAAACACAGAAGAGAGAATAAGTAACCACTCATGTGCTCCCTCAGCTTCTAGTGAGCATAGTTGTTAGCTTAGACACTAACTGAACTGGAGGTATCTCACATAAAGGCGCACAGCTTAGGCCCTGTCCAGTTACTATACAGCTCACACATGAAATGGGCTGACAGCCACTGATAAAGGCAGAAGAGGTCACTTAAAACCCTGGTGTTGTTAGTATTGACTAAAAAGTATATTACCTAACATAGCATGGACTGCAGCCTTGTGCCAAAGACGCAGCAAAGCTCACACTACTGTGGTTTAAATGATGCTCCCTGACTTGGCTAGTGCACAGCTGAAATGAAGGAATTGGTTTAGAATTAAAACATTAATAAGGAGCACAACTTTATTCTGGTATCAGTTGTCACAAGTGAGCAATGGGTTTCTATAATGCTTTTCCCCCTAAACGGCAGATGGAGGATGGATGGTGGGTTGTAGTGGGAAGCTGTGGTGGGGGGCTTCCTTCCAGCTGGCTCTCTAGAATACATGTGTGAGCTCTACAGGAGCTCCACAGCCTGGCTGGGTATCGGTTATGTGCAAAGGTTGCCGGAACAAGATTGCCTTCATCATGCAGGCACTGCTGTCTGCACTACAGTAGTAAAGAAACACGCTGACGGATATCACAGCTTCAAGTGACAAGCACTCAGCAGGAATCTGAAGTGAAATTGTGGGTTGATTGGAAATATTCTCTATGTTTCCAGATGGGATCTGTTCCTGAAGAAGCCACTCATTGCCTAGAAAACAGGAGAGAATATTATAAAGACTATAGAAAATACAAGAGGCTGGCCACAGCTCTGGGCAAAGCACTTGCCACAAAGTGTGAGAACCAAAGTTCAGACCACAGAACTCACCTAAATGCTGGGTGCATGTGACACCCACCTGTAATCCCAGAGGACAGGGCATCTCTGGAACAAGCTGGCCAGTCAGACTTTTCAGAACAGTGAGCTCAGGCTTAGTGACAGACCCATGTGGACACACATTCACACACATAATATACACACACATTTGAAAAGACACAAGTGGGAAAAGAAAAAAATTCAGCAAGTATTTACTACAAGCCTGTGAGTGCCAGGCCTCTTGCTCTGTGTAGAGGACATGCAGCGTTAAACAAAATGACCCAAATAAGACGCTAGCTCCCAGACTGCTCATCTCTGTGTTTCTTTAGTGCAGCTTCCCTTCTGTGGAATCTGTAAAACAACCCCCAAACTGCTTTCCACTGAATGAAGCTGAGAGCTGCAGCTATGGCTCTTTAGATCCTTCTCACACCAGCTCCAAGTGCGGCTGCTGTTGAATCAACACCAAAGGGATGATGAGAGTCTAAAAACTACAAAGAACACAAATGTAGACACAATAAACTATTTTAACACTCAAATCTTGGAATAAGACACTGACTATTTCTTTGTATCCCATTTGAGACACACACACACACACACAACTTATGAAGAAATGAGATGCCTGAAACTCTTTAAAACATGCACACATTCTAGCCACTTTACCTATTTCTTTTTTAAAAAAATTTATTTATTTATTTATTGTATATACAGTTATCTACATGCACACTTGCACACCAGAAGAGGGCACCAGATCTCATTACAGATGGTTGTGAGCCACCATGTGGTTGCTGGGAATTGAACTCGGGTCCTCTGGAAGAGCAGTGAGTGCTCTTAACCTCTGAGCCATCTCTCCAGCCCCAATTTACCTATTTCTATGGAGCCAGCCCCAAAGACAAAGTCTCTTCTACCCTTTCGTGTAGACATGGGCTTTCTCATCCCTTCAGAATCTTTAAATTAGTAGGATTCTTGCCAAAAAGCTTATTTGCCCTATATAGTAAAAATAGAGCCCATATTTTAGACAAATAATCAAGCATCTAAGTATTTGACTCCTTCACTTAATGTCATCTTCACTTCATAGGACAATGACTCAGAATTTAATTATTTGAATGTTTAAGAAGGCAGCATTAAAAAGGTTAATTGTCACCAGGCCCTGTTGGCACACACTTTTAGTCCTAGCACCTGGGAAGCAGAGGCAGGTGGATCTCTGAGTTTGAGGCCAGCCTAGTCTACCGAGTGAGCTCCAGGATGGCCACGGCTATACAGAGAAATCCCTCTTGAAAAGCCAAAACAAAACAAAAACAAGCACAACAAAACAACAAAAACAAAACAAAACAGGCTAATTGTCAATACCTTACTTAAAAAAAATACTGGTCTCTACACAAAGAGAAATTAAACATGGAATCTGTGATCCCCAATTATGGGGCTTCTTTGCTATGCATAGACACAGCCAGAATAGCTGGACCCTTCCTAGGGCTTCCTGGAGCCCAGAGAATGGCTGTGGCTTAGGTTTGCACAGGCTCAGGGAGTGTTCCGGGGCAAGTCCAGACTGTAACCAGCAGTGCAGCTGCAGACCAGCAGCTTCTGCCTGAGACTGAAGGTGAGCAAGGATGAGGCCAGAATTGGGTTACCATACAAACCAACAAGTGTGTGAGAGGGCATGAGAGTGACAGGAGTGAGGACGTGAGAGAGAGAGAGAGAGCGCGTGGAGACTAGGGCAGAGGACAGTCAACTTCAACAAGAAGTCCCGAGTTGAGAGTTCTGGTCCCCAGGACCTCACTTCAGACCTGGTCTCTGCTGTGCACAAGGGCTCTAACAGCAGCAGGCAGGACACTGAGTCCTAAGGCAGCAGGGTTCCGACACACAAGGGCCGCCAAGGGAGAGCCACAGAAAATGAGTAAACGAGGAAGCCCCACTTCATTTCTCCTCATCAGACTTGCAACTTATTTAATTTTTTATTTCTTTGACAGGCTCTCACTCCGTAGCCCAGATGGCTTGGAAACCATTATATAGCTCAGGCTAGCCTCAAACCTGCGGTCCTCCTATCTCAGTCTCCTGAGTGCTGGAACTGCAGATGAGACTTTAAGTGGTTCTTTTTGAGGACAAGAAGAAGAAGATAGAATAAGGCAGACATGCAGGCAAGTCTAATTCTCAGAAACCATGCTGTCAGAGATGCCTGGGCTCTTATGGGCCACACCGTCTTAATGAAAGGGAAGAAGAAATCGCAAAGGCCAAGAGGAAAATATCAAACTGGTCATAGCTAGATTCACATTTTTTTCACATAATTTCCCTCAAATCTTTCCCAACATAGTAAATATATAAGAAAACTATCAGTTCAGCCCCGGACTTTACTCTACTGCCTGCAGAACTAGGCCCTACCTTCAGCGGTCAGGAACCAGCAGCTGGCCACACCTTCTGTGAGCTTTGCCCCTGGTGGAAGGTCCAGCTTGAGCTTGAGTTGCAGAGTCTGGCCAGGACACACAGGCACAGGGGGGAGCTGAATGTTGGGGGCAGACTTGGGTACTTTGGGCGCTGTCTTCTGCTTCTCTGTAGCGAAGGGGCCATCTACCACAACACTGCCAGGCTTCAGGATCGGGAGCTACAAGACCAGAGGACAGGTTATTAAAGCACAGACACCTCTAAGACCAAAGCAAGAGAACCTCGTCTCAGACAGGGACAGAAAACTGAAGTTCTCCGTCAGTGACACACATCAGTGTTTCCCAGAGTATGGAACACCAGCCTGCCTCAGCAGTCAGATCACCTGTGAGGACAGCAGGAAACCACTGTCCCATGGTTTACAAATGGCAGGAAGTTAAAGCAACACTTTAGGGATTTAAGGACAGTGAGTATGATACACGCTCATAACCTCCACTGCCAAGAGAAATCTACACAAGATACTTTTGATGCCACTTTGTGGTTATTTTAAAATAAAACACTCCCCACCCCAGATAAACAGGACATCACAAAACAGTGGGCAACAGACACTTCTCTTTGAAAACGGATGTGAATTTGGTCAAGTTTTCCCTAGTCTATCTCGTTTTCAGAGTTTGGAGAGCTGTGACTTACACAGGTTCCCCCAGAAGATGACTTGGTGATGGAGTCACCAGAGGAAACAGACAGCAATAACCTCAGGATCACTGAATGAAACAACAGGTTCACATGATACAATGTCATCACGTCTCCTCATTTAAAAACAGAGCCAACTCTGCAAATCCCAGCGTTTTCCTCAAATGCTCAAAGACTAGCAAGAGACCTGCACAGCAAGTCCCTGGTCTGGTTGTCCCAGAACACAACGGGGCATCCATTTCCGACTCGGGCCAAGCCAAGGCTTTAAACCTCAGCCCCATCCTGAAACCCCACCTCCTCTAAGCCACATCTAAGATGACTCACCACAGAGACTGTTCTTGCTTCCAGGTCCATCACTTTGATCTGGTGATTATTAGTGTCTGCTACATACAGCAGCCGGCCACTGTCACCGACACATAAGCCTCCAGGCTCATTAAAGGCCGACTCCGCAAAACTGCAAACAACATCATTTGCAACTCCGGTCCCGGCTAGTGTTGTGCAGAGTTTTGTTTTTGGATCTACAACTTTAATCTAAAGAAAAATGGACAAACATTTTCCCTGAAGTCAGCCCTGTTTACAGCAGTGCAGGGAAACAGAGGCTCCCAACTGCCATTAGCATCCCCAGTAAATAAGTCTTAGAACAGTAGCTATTTCCATAGTTTCCTAAAACCCCAACACTCAAAGTATATCAGGAAAGGGACAATATCTCATCCTGAGGAAAACCTTTAGAAATCTTAGTTTTAGACCGTGTTTTGTTAATTCCAGGGTTCTTCTTTTTTTTTTTTTTTTCCTGGAATTAAAAATAGTCCCCCTTCCTATCCCCATAGTGGAACCCAGTTAACCTGACTTCCTGAGAATGCTGCTTGAGGAGCGTTACTTTTGTTAATGTAAGGCCTGACGGTTATGTCTCAAGCACATGAAGTCTATGGTTGCTCATCACATGGCAAAGGACTCTGCAGAACTACTGGAAACACCCAGATGGAAGAAAGGTGTATTTGCTCGTGGTCATTGTAACCGGGTAACAGTTCAAATATATAAATCTTCTAGTGTCCCAGTTAGCTTTAACTGCTGACCTGATACAATCTAGTCAACAGAAAAGGGACCCTCAATTGAGGAACTACCCAGATCAGATGGCAGTGGACGTGTCTTGTAATTAATGTGGGAGGGATCACCTGACCAGGGATTGTTGGGGAGGCAAAGATCCCTGGTCAGGTGATCCTGGGCCATGTAAGAGAGCTAGCTGAGCCTGGGTCTGTGAGCAAGCCAGCAAGCAGGCCTGCCTTCCATTCCTGCTCCGACTCCCCTCCATGATGGACCTCGCCTCGAAGTGTGAGCCAGCTAAATCTCCCTCCTAACTGCCTGTGGTCGGTTTTACTATGGCAACAAAATGAAACTCCACCAGCTGGCTTACACTTCCCTTGTTCCTGACTTCTTTACCGAGCAGCTTTGATGGGTCATAGTTCATACATCTATGTCACAGCCACAAGACTTAGCTTAGCATTTCCCTCAGTTCAGTTTGGACATCAAAAGGCAAGGAAGGCCCAGGACAAGCTATGCAGCGTTGAGAGCTACAGCTGCTCTTTGTATTTTAGAGAGGCACTGGTAGGAGACGCACGGGTCAAAAGCAAGGCACTGTCTCTCTGGCCAAGACTCACCTTGTGGTTGTACGAGTCTGCGACATACAGCAGACTCCTCTTCTGGTCCCATGCAACCCCAAGTGGATGCTGAAGCTTCGCAATGATGCCGACTCCATCAGCATCACCAAAAGCAAATAAATTCTTTATTTTATTGTTTTAAAGAGAAAGAAACAGCAGTTATTTTAGTGTTTTGTTAGGAAAGTAAAAACTAAGGTTGTTGTGTTACTAAAGCCTAAGGGGAGCTCTGGTTTTCCTGGTAGATCTGGGAACGTGACGCAGCCTGGAGAGCCGCAGCAGAGGGGTCTGGACCCCTCTATTTGCTGCCTTGCTGTGTCATCTGCTCAGGGACAGGCCAAGTCTAGTGCTCTTTCCAGTCCACTGCTACACCCAATGTAACCTCCTCTGTCTGTCTACCAGCGGCTACTTTATCTTTTCTGTCCCTGGGAGCCTCAACATGGATGTGTAACCAGTTTCTTTACAGTCAGGCTTTCTTTGGTTTCACTGCATTCTATCACAGACAGGACAAGACTGAGCTCCTGACTGTCACCCGTGACTCATCATACTGCAGGGAAGCACACAGAGCAGCTTCTTTACCATGGGGTCCCGCTCTCCTCCTACAAGGTGCTTCACGGCTCCATCTTTGAGTGAGACGCTTCTCACTGTGCTGCTCTCACTGTCTGCTACAAAGAGGCAGCTCCAGGGGTCTTCTGAGGCCAGAGAGAGACCTGAGGGTTGGGCAAACCCCGCCTTGTGAGGATAGGCATTGTTTCGGTTCTCTTCATTTCCACTCCCAGCAAAACGAAGGCAGGTTCCTTTTTTCAGTTCACTGGAAGACAAGCACGGGTGGGAATCCGCAAGTGACCACATGGATGGTGACAGCACAGGTCAGCAGTCCCACAGAACCCGTGGTGCTGGCCCGGCCTCTCCTGCAGGTGTCCAGGCACTCTCTCGAGGAGTACTCCACCTCACTTCTCCGCAGTTTACTAACCACTGACGTCTGTCACCCCCGAATAGCAGGCCATGAAATCAGGTTGTTATGAAATAACAGTGAGAGATTTTATTCTCATTTTGACTTCTTAGTTTCACACAATATCAGGTTCTAGAAGGAATTTACTAATAGACTGTCCAGTTTTTGATAAAATTTTAATTCTCTTTAAAAACATCCGTGTCTTCTCTAAAGCAGATAGCTGTTTCAAGAAACCCAAGTTGAAGATGATCATTTTCAGAAAAGTGACATAATGACTGTACTGCATTAAACAGTCAACTGTACAAAACCCCTTTCTTCTACACACTGGGACACGTCTACTTAAGGTACCGAAGCAGAGGCACACAACTGTCACACACAACTGTCACACACAGCTGTCACACACAGCTGTCACTGCTGCAGCTGCAGAGAGACCGTGTCTCAAAATGCTGAAAAGAACACTGCAATGATGCAGAGAAAGTTTACACCTTGACTTCTAAATCTACGCCAAGAGGATTATAAAGACACTGTTGGCAGTAAAAGAGTGGGTGTACCCCATCTCCAAATACAGCACACACTCTGAAGCCCGGTGTGACCAGCACTCTGGACTGCAACCTTCTTTCTCAAGGCTAAAGCAGGGGTGGAAGGCAAGGGAAGGAGTGGAAACATGTGAGAGAGGGATCCCGTGACACTGAACGTGGACGGACAGTGACACCAGAGCATTAGCGGCCACTACTACCTGAAAATCTCATTTAGACACCATCTTGGCAACAATGTAGTAACTGTGCAGTAATGCACCCACAAAATTAAGATCAATGTAACTTGTGCAACCCTTCTCCTATGTTCTGGCTGCCTAGCATTACTTGTGGCTGCTGGTATAAGCACACCTCATGGACCACTGGTGACCCTATTGCTCACGTCACTACTGTCTCTGGCCTGGATGGCAGCCACAGCCTCCTGCATAGGTTCTTGCTCCACTCGGGATGCTAGGTTTTTTCCAGAGTACAGATCTGACCATGCCACTTCCCAGCTCAGGCCTTTCTACATCAGCTTTTGGGATCTTCAAATCTCTTAGCAAGGACTCAAGGCGACATGGACCTATGTGTGCACTGATGTCACAGGCACCAGCGGTGGCTCAGAAGACCTTCTCTGCACAAGTCCTCTGGGGCTTCAGAGCCTGTGGGCAAAAAGCTTAGCATGAATGACTACTTCAGAGGCTCTGATGACATGCGATTTCTGTATATTCATTGTTTGCTGATCTAATTCTTCTGAGGCTGGGCGTGTCTTTTCATCTCTGTTGTCTAACACAGGGCCTAGAAAAAGTACATTTAACAAATGTACTTTTGGGTCTCAGCCTTCCTAATGCTTCTATCCTTTAATACAGTTTCTCATGTTGTGGTGACCCCCAACCATAAAATTATTTTCATTGTTACTTTGTAACTCTAAACTTGCTACTGTCATGAATCACAACATAAATATCTGCATTTTTCCGACAGTCTCAGGCAATCCCTGTGAAAGGGTCGTTGGACCCACATGTTGAGAACCACTGTTTTAGATGCATGACTGGTCACAAAATAACACACAACTGTGTCACACTCACCCCTGGACATTTGAGATCTTGATTTGCTAGACAGCTGTCTCTTTCTGCTGATAAAGATAACTGATGAGCCCAGGGGTGGTGGCGCATTTAATCCCAGCACTCGGGAGGCAGAGGCAGACAGATTTCTGAGTTTGAGGCCAGCCTGGTCCACAGAGCAAGTTTCAGGACAGCCAAGGCTGCATAGAGAAGCCTTGTCACAAACAAGCAGACAACCTAACTGTGATGGCTAGAGTCTACTCTCTATGGCCGTCATAACAACTTCAGGGTCTACGATTCTGCCTTACGTCAGTTTTTGTCAGCTTGACACAAGCTGGAGTTATTTGAGAAGAAGGAACTTCAACGGCAAAAACTCTTCCTTCCATCAGATTGACCTGTGGGTCATCGTCTTGACTGATTACTGATATGAAAGGGCCCAGCTCACAGTGGGAGGAACACATGGGCCTGGAGTGTAGAAGAAAGCAAACTGGGCAAGCCAGCAAGCAGCATTTCCCAATGGGGCTGCTGAGTCCCTTCCTCAGACTCCTCCATGACAAACTATATAACCTGTAAGCTGAGATAAACCCTTTCCTCCCCCAGTCAGTGTTGGCCATGGTGTTTATCTCAACAACAGAAACCTCATCAGGACAGACTTTAACCCATTTGCTTATTCTATAAGCTTGGCAGTATTAGGCACAGAAGACACACTAATAATGGGATGAGGCTCCTTTAAGAGGTAGCTTAGTAAGAAGAAATAGTTAACACTAGGCATGACCCAAGAGATTACAGAGGTGAGAGAGAAGCCACAGAGGAGAGTGTGGCCAGCTCTGCCTGAGGCGGCTGAGGGAGACACTGCAGAGACAGTGCTTTCCTATCCACACATGCCCAACAGTGGTTCATATGTGTTCTGTGTGTGCCAATGCTATGCCTAACTCTTCACAGGGCAATCCCGTAAAGCGATGGAAAACGCAGAGGCTCTCCTGTGCTTACATAGTAAGTAGCAGCTGGTATTCTGTTTTGGGTCGAATACATCCGAGTGGTGGCCACTCTCCCATGCAGCACTCAGCCACCTGAAGGAGTGACTACAGACACCTGTCCTGTGTTTACACTGCAGAGTATTAAAGCCCCAGCTAACATTTCTAGTTCCCTCTAGTACCCAGAAGAATGGCACCCCTAGGCTCTTAGAAATTAGATGCAGCCCTAAGGCTTAACCATGGCTGATGAAATACAACTCCAAGAGATGGATGCCATTTCTGAGCAGCAGCTTCGAGAGCCAGTCAGTGACTCACCACCACCTCCTCCTTCCCCCTCCCGCCCTGCAGAAGAGCCCCTGACAGCAGCTGCTTCCTCAGCCTACGACTAGTGCTCTCCAGTGAATCTACTTGAGTGAACAAAGAACACTGCTCCAAGTTTTCTGTGGTGTGAGGCCAGCAGGTGCTGTGAGGATGGTGACCTGGGGAAGGACCCCAAGGAAGGACAGCCACTTACCTTTTCTTTGGCAGTGTGCCAGAGTCCAGGAGGAGAGCCCATATCTGATGAGTCCCGGCCATGGCTATCCACAGGATGTCATTTCTTTGGACTTCTGAATCTTTATAAAATAAGTAGCGTATATTATATTCATATCAGGCTAATATGAGACTTAACCCAGAGACTGAAATGTAATGGCGGATTCTAATTTTTATAAATCGGCTGTTTTGGAAAATGATCCTTAGTGAGAAATCTGACCTACAGAGTTACCTTCTCACCTGCAACTATTTCATGAGAACTCAAAGCTGCCATTTTTAAATTAAATGCAGTAAAGGGTGATAATTCAATACATGTTTACAAAGTGTAATGATAAATTAAAGCAATTAGCATTTCCATTTCCTTAAGCCAAATCCACACATTCTTAATAGCAGTATGTCAACCTGCATCTCTGGAAACAGTGTTTTTAAACACTGATTTTTTAAAAAAATTATGTGACACAAAAAAAATAGGCTAACATTCTCTAAGAAAACTGGCAGTTTCTATGGGAGAAATGATGCTTTTCAGAGTGATGTGAAGGCACGAGCTTGCTGCCCCAGAGCCTGGGGCAGAGGCAGGAAGAGCTCAAGTTGGAAGCCCTTTAGATTACACAGCAAGTCCCAGGTAAATCTGGTTACAAAGTGGACACCCTGTGCTAAAACAAAATGACCATAAAAAGAAGTTTAAGGAATATATCTTTTTATTATTATCATGATACGAGAGTTGAGATTCAAACACAAAGTAGAACATTTAAAAATCCACTTGTCTAGGTGACTGTAAAATTTGTGGGAGTGGGCACATGTGTGCATAGAGGTTAATGTTGAATGTCTTCCTTAATCATGCTCTACCTTGCCGGGCGTTGGTGGCGCACACGTTTAATCCCAGCACTCAGGAGGCAGAGGCAGGCGGATCTCTGGGAGTTTGAGGCCAGCCTGGTCTACAGAGTGAGTTCTAGGACAGCCTCCAAAGCAATACAGAGAAACCCTATCTCAAAAAAACATATAATGCTCTACCTTATTTATTTATTAGTCAGGTTCTCACTGAGCCTGGAGCTCACTGATAGGTCAGACTGGCTGGCTAGTAGGAAGCCCCAAAGACCCTCTTGTCTCAGCCTTCCAGTGCTGGGACTATAGGACTACAGGGACTACAGGGACATGCCCCTGTGGTGGAGCTTTCATGTGGTGCTGAAGACTGAATTCAGATCCACAAGCTGCAGGGCAAGCCCTTTACCTACTGATCTACCTCTCAGCCCTGGTTTATCAGACCAAGAGTACAATATATTATAACATATCCATTTACTACCATTAATTTTACCATCCTATTTTTAGACACTGAATGATGTCACATATATAAGAGAACAAAGCTCTACTTCTCAGATTAATTTCTTTGACATATTTAAGTAGGTATTCTGAAATAACTGAGACATTTTAATTAAAGCAATCTGGTAAGACATTGTCTTATAGAAAGTTATTTTATCTGTAATCTCTTTAACTTCAAGGATTTTGTAATGAGAAGGGTATTTCTTCCTTAATTAGTAATAATTTTTAAGTTTCTTTCAGTTTAGTAACAACGAAGATAACCAGCAATGATGATGGTTGTCAAGTAATTACAGATGCTACAATGCCTAGCCTTCCAAAGACTCACCCCGAGATGAGTGCGGTCAGAATCCTAACTATAGGTTGAGTGACTGCACACCAGGTCACTAGCTAGCAAAGGAAGGAATTGCACTCAGGGCCCAAGGCAGCCATGATATGCGGATCCTCTCGGTTCTCGACTGCTACACAGTAGAAAGTATCTGCTTGCCTCCTTCATACAGAGTCATGTCTGCAGACTCAAGTGTACTCAAGGACACTGCTGTCCACTGTCCATGGATGGCTCTGTCACTTTACAACCAGAAGAAAGACCTGTGCAGCTAATTTTTAACACACCACACTTCAGCCATTCTAGGGCTACTCTCTGGGACTAGTAAATGACTGTCATCTAAGCTAATAAAATAGTCCATGATTTCAGATATAATGACACAGGCAACAGTACTCACATGTCAGCCATGACCATTACTTCATGGACCTGGACTGTACCTTCATAGCATGTTGCATTAGGCAAGCATAAATGCAAACTCCAAAGCCCTAGAGCAGATGGCACTGAGGGCAGAGTGTGACACAATGTCTCCCACATAAGTTTATTAATTCCATAGTAACAGTGACTACTACTATACGACAGACCACACCCAACAATGCACTCAGTTTACAACTGCTCACTTGTATTACAGCAGTCACAAATCTAAGACAATAAACTCGTCATTCAAACAATGAAAATGAGTTCATGCTCCTGATTAGATAATGGTATTATTAACTAAGGAAATGAACAACAAAATAAAACAAAAGCTTCAGTAAGTATTATAAACACAAGGCACAAATGAATAATACCCATTTTACATAATCGGGAGTGTTTCCCACTCATGATGTTCCAAAGCCTGTATTTACCCAGTTTAGACTAACATGCAAAGAACTGTAGACAATTACAGTCTGAAGCCCACTGCTAATAGAGGCCCCCCTAATTCTCTCTGAATGCAACTAAATGATGTATCTTGAGTTGTGATAGCCTCTAAAACAAGCGCCCCTTCCATGGCTGAGGAGACAAACAGGCAAGATTAAGACTGGCAGGGATTTCATCAAGCGATGCCAGGACTGCCAACCTCAAAAGACGACCAAGAGGGTGAGCACAGGCCCTGGGGGTAAGCACCACCACAGTGCTGGCAGTGCTGGGTGCAAACAACACCTGCTGCTTCAGCTCCTGCACCACGTGTGCTCCCTCTGTCCTTCTGGGACTCTCACCCTCAGCCCCTAGCACAGACTCCTTCAGACTGCTTTCTTGCTTCCCCTACCCAACACAGCATGCTCACTCATGAGCGTGTGCACAGGCACGCACGTATGCACACACGGCTCGGTGCCCTGCAACCTTACCTTACTGTTCTCGTGACTCTCATCGCCACCCTACGTGCTCTGTTTGCTCACTCGTTGCTCTTCTGAGAAGGCAACAGCTTTGCTTTTTTCAGCTTCATTACCAACAACTAAAACAGTGCCTTCCCATAGTAGATGCTCAGCAAATACTCACTGAGTAAGTAGCCTTTTCCTGGACAGTGGCAGACAAATGCTCTCATTTTGCCAGTACATCCACAAGCCCTGAAGCTACCAGAATGATGGCTGATACTTCCTAACACTGGGAACGATCTGTCTCTAGTCAGAGACGTCTGCCATAGATGCAAGCCTGTGCCATCATCCTCCACATCAGCACACTGAAGATAGGAAGTCTCACCCTGAAATCAGCTTTGCACACGAGCAGATGTGACGTATGTGGTAACCAAGTCATGCAGAGCACTCACAGGATGGGCCTCATTTCATAGAAATCCCTTTTACGTCTTTTCCATATTTAAAGACACATAGTGTAGTCTGATGATACATCTGTGATTTCACTTTGTTTTTTTTTTTCAGATAATTTACAATGGGCTGGGCTTAGGATCTCACAGGGCCGAAAATCCTCAAGTTACGTACGAAAATTGTCTTTCTGCACCTTTTAATGTCCCAGTCATAAAAACCCTGAGCAAAAAGACACATAGATGACCTATTTGATTTAGGGGTAAAGAATACTTCCAAAAGAACTGACAGCAAACATAGTAAAAGAAGAAAAACTATTAATATATTCCTGCCAACAGAAATGAGGTAAAAAACAACCACAAAAACCCTATCATTATCTCTATATAACCTCACGTGAAGGCATAGTGTGGAACAAAAGCAAAAAAATGCAAATATTATAAAAGAAATTGAAAGCAGGTGACATGGTTATATATAGAAACCATGAAGGAATGGTCACAAGTGTAAGTGAGCTCAGCAAGGTTCTGCAGACTGAAGGCGCGCCGGAAGATACCACACAAGTACAGACCCACCCTCTTCACTGGAGTCACCACCATGAGTCACAACAACAACCCAGTTTCTTGGTAACCCTGCTGTCACCCTCACTGACACTTCCACTCACAGCCACACACAATGCACCAGCAAGTTCTGTTGGATGAAGAATTTGATCAATTTGAGACATGTTCACTTTGGTCTAAGGCGCCATCAGGGTGACTCATGAATTATATCTAAGCTTATTTGTCCCTGTGTTCACACCTAAGAAGAGCCCTGTGTCTTCTGCTGGGATGTGAAGCACACCTGTCATCCCAGCACGAAGGAAGCAGAGGCAGGAAAATCAGAGTTTAGGACACACAGTCAGGTCCAGGCTGGTCTGTGCTACACAAGCAAGACCTTGAGTCCAAACAAACAAAAAGAAGAGAAAGATGACCCATGAGAGCAGTCAGCCGAGTTTCCCTTTCAACTTCAGGAGTCTTTAGAGCCTACTTTTGCAAAAGAACTTTGCTGGCACACATCTGACTAAAAGATCCATGTGGCCTCTGCTGTCTGGTTCTCTGAATAGGTCAGAGTAGCCCAGGCAGTTTACCACACATACAAAGGGAAAAGTGTGTCTGCTACAAAGTGTGGGAACTTGTGTGTTCTTGGCTTACACACTGATTTCCTTTACAAGTTTGAACGGTGAGGTAAGCACAGACACACGAGCTGTGTCAGCTTAGGGTTTGCTCTTTGGCAGTGTCTGAGAAGCAACCATCAGTGAGAGATATCAAAATAACCATTAGAATACATCCCAGTGAAAGTGTTGAGTTTGGGAAATCCTACTATCATCATCTTCATTTTACCAAACTACAGTATCTCAGAGAGGTTAAGTAATGTTTTAAAATGTGCACAGCTAGACCTGGAACTTGAGTCACCAGTGACCTGCCTCATTCGTGCTGAGATAAGATGAGAGCACTACAGAGGAGCACTCCCGCTCAGTCTGTTTCTCTGTCCACAAGCCTCTGACCTGGTGCACGCCAGCCAGTGTATCAGGTACACGTTCATGTGTGAGCTGCTCCAACGCACCTGCAGCTTTCAACTCCAGGGTGGGAAACTGTTTATCCCTGTCATGTCTAAAAGATTTTTAAAAGGTAAAACAGAATTTCCACAAAGACTGCCAAAATGATCTTAAAAATAAGAA